CCAGCCTGAGCAGTTTACTTTGGGTTTTTTCCATCACTAACAGCTTGAATGTGATCTGTAACACTGATATAGTTAGAGGCTATTAACAGTTTGCATTAACTCTTCATTGCTAGCGCCAAAAGCTAGCATGTTTTCTTCGTTTAAATTGTTAAAATGCACAAAATACATTTTATAGCACAAGTTTCTAACTATCTTAGTAAGTCTGACATAATTCTACTTATGCAGGTGCATGCAGTACTGTTCTGCCCGCACTGGGGGTGTCTGGGAGGGCTGGGCTTAACTTCAGTTCAAAATGAACTCTATACAGAGTTAAAGCTATTAAGTTAACTAATGACAGAGTTAACATTTTTAACCAACCTCTGTGCAGAGTTACAGAATTTAGAATTTTCTCTTTTAAGAGTTAAATCAACACTGATGGAATACATTTTGTCAAATAACTCCAACACAGAGTACAATTTAAACCAGAAAGTGTTTAAATCACACTTTGAGGGTTAAAATAAACTCTGAGACATTTACTCCAGCACATTTTAATGTGTTTGATTCCTCATATCATCACAGCACTTTAAAAGGCATTCTACTGAGAACTTTGTTTCATTTTAACGTTACACTGAAGGGGAGATCATGTCGTCATAAAGTATTTCTCATCTCATCACATCATCATCATCGTCATGATTTCCGTTGCAGTTCGGGGCGTATCTGCTATAAGATTGTGCGTTTTGCCATGAGTAGTGAATTGTAAATTAAAGTTTGTCCTCTAAGAGAAGGCAAGAAAGCTGTCATTAAAACCTGCATCCAAAGTCTAGTAATAAAATCTCCAGAAATAATAAAAATAACTTTTTGATTTTTATTATTTGCACAAAAATCCTTTAAAAACAGTCAAGTTAAGATGCCATACAGAAGCCATACAGAGGCTGGGACACAGTCCTAATTAAAGATGGTCAAACTCAAGTCAAAACAAACAAGGTTAATAAACTAAAAATGATAAACATGGCAATTAAAACATGAAAAATGAAACCTGAAAAGGGTTTAATCACAACATGCAAAACTGGCTATTTATTTACAGCATCACTAATGTGTGAAACTTGGCATCACAGGAAAAGCTAGTTACACTGAATTCACCACCACTGCATGTAAATAAATCTTCCTGCAGGAAGCAGGAAGATGATAATACAAAGTTATCTGTCCTTTCTGTGACCTACTGGGCTCTTAAATACAAAACAAGCTCAACATATGTTACACATGTTAAGGTTAACATGTGTGTGTTCACATCAAAGGGGTGGTGCTGGCAGCATTTCACCAATAAAGATTATGGATTAAGTGTACTAACAGCAGAACAGCTGATTTCATACAACAACATTAAACTACATTATGGGAAAAATACGAAGAGGTTAAATACAAATTACAGACTCAAAGTAACACAGCTGTTGCAGAGCAATACGACTGGACAAAAATCAGCTATATTAATACAGTTTAGCTCATTTGAAGCCAGATACAGATACAGATTGTCAGTATCACAGCTCTGTTATTAAGAAACGAGGGAACTGGATGAATTATTATCACGTATTTAATTAAATTGTTATTTAAAGAACCATTTTAGTATTTATTCAATCAGCTGCAGCAACAGTGGTGCGTAACTGTCTGAGAGCACGTAAATAATGACTATAAAACTATTCAAATGTAGGATTAGTCTACTTGCAATTTTGATATATCAGGAAGTACAAATAGGTGTTCCTTATTAGGATCGCATATTCATGCTTATAGAACAGTAAAATAGTTGTAAACGTATTTGGAGTCGACAGGAAAAAGTAACAAATAATGCTGTGGCCAAGAAACTATATTTATTACTGGAGCTCACGGGGGAAACACAAAGATATTAGACACTGTTGAAAAACTGCCCAGGGGTACCAGGGATCTTTTAGGAATGGCGATGCTATTGTGATTTGATACATACAGGTTTCTAAGTTACCATGGCAATGTACCCCAATAAAAAGTGAACACTGGTACAAAAAAGCAAGGGTCAAAGCTAAAGATGGCCTGGATAAGAAGAAATCCTGCTTTGGAGTACAGGCCTCAAGTTTGACATACTCTAAATTTGCAGGGCTGTTTGTCTCTCTGCACATGCAGGATCATATTTTGCCAGCATGAATCTAAATGAATAAGATCAATTGTATTCAGATTATACTCTGCACACGAGAGGAAGAGCAAGTCTACAAGCTACCCAACCAGATGTTGCACAGTGTCTTCCTGCTTCTCTGCTGGTTTTCTCTGTGCAGCAGGGTTCAGTTCAACACTCTCATACAGCTGGTCCCTCTGAAAGGAGGACATGCAGATGACTGTGGGCACACTTTCATAAACAGTAATTTCAGAGTTTGACATATCTCATTACCTGTCCAGGTTGTTCCCTGTCACTTTTCTCAGCAGTGGCAGTCACAGTTTTCTTCTTCCTACATTTGTAATATATCAAACTCAAACTTTTCTTATATGAAAGAAAAGAGTTTTGAAGACAGTCAGAAGATATGACACAAAATCTGAAGTGAAGTAGTTTACCTTGTTTTCATGTAGAGTAGAAATACAACTGCAGGGATCAGCGATAAAAGAGTCATTTTCAATACGTTCAGCCCTGCTATGGTTTTCTCTAGAGCTGTAGAGATTGATGTAAGATGTAAGTAAACATTGTAGTAAAATATTTCAGAACAATATAAACTGCCGTTAACTGCCAGACTGCTATTTTGTTGGTTTGGTCCAGAAAAAAGTTGAAGTTTCTGCCTGCTGCTATCACGTAGCCTGCATTTCTCCATTTACCAAATGTAAAAGGAGTCAGAAAGTGAGCAGGATCTTTAACATTAACAGTCCTTCTCACCTTTGACAGTGAGAGCCTTCTCAGCTGAGCTAATGTTCTGAGGACTATTCACAGCACAGGAATAGTTCCCTTCATTCTCCTTGCTGACTGGGTCCAGGATCAGATGTTTCGTTTGGTGGCCGACTGGTCGACTGTTCAAGTACCAAATGTAGTCTGTGTCGTCAGTCAGAGGACAGCTGGTACTGCAGGTCAGCGTGACCCTCTGACCCTCTGTCACCACTGCAGAAGGACTCACGCTCACTTTCACACCTCAAAGATAGTTCGATTCGATAGAAAACAAAACAAAACAAAAAAAAACAGAAGAGTTATTGTGCCTTTTGACAAAACTGACGTGTGATTATCAATTATATCTGACATGCAGTTAGGTCCATAAATATTTGAACGAGACAATTTTTTTCTAATTTTGGTTCTGTACATTACCACAACGAAATTTAAATGAAACAACTCAGATACAGTTGAAATGAAGACCTTCAGCTTTAATTCAGTGGGTGGAACAATGCATTTTTT